CATTTGGGTACTCAGTTTCCACCTGTGTCCCCTTGTTTGCGTACCACCCGTGTTAAACAGTTTATCTTTATCTACCCTGTCAATTTCTCTGAGAACTTTGTAGGTAGTGATCATGTCTCCCCTTACTCTTCTATCTTCTAGTGTCGTGAGGTGCATTTCTCGCAGCCTTTCTTCGTAACTCATGTCTCTTAGTTCTGGGACTAGCCTAGTGGCATATCTCTGAACTTTTTCAAGCTTCGCCTTATGATTGACAAGGTACGGGCTCCATGCTGGGGCCGCATACTCCAGGATTGGTCTTACATATGTGGTGTACAAGGTTCTGAATGATTCCTTACACAGGTTCCTGAAGGCAGTTCTGATGTTAGCCAGCCTCGCATACGCCGCAAATTTTATTCTTTTGATGTGGGTTCAGGAGACAGGTTTGGTGTGATATCAACTCCTAGATCCTTCTCTCTGTCCGTTTCATTAAGTACTTCATCTCCCATTCTGTATCCTGTTTCTGGCCTCCTGTTTCCACTGCCTAGTTTCATTACCTAACAAGGTACCCGAGTTCAACTCGGGTTGAACTTTAGTAGCCATTTGTTGGACCATTCATGCAGTCTGTCTAGGTCTTCTTGTAGTCTCATACTGTCTTCCTCCATCTTAATCCACCTCATAATTTTTTAATCGTCAGCAAACAATGAGAGGAATGATTCTAAACCATCTGGAAGATCATTTACATATATAAGAAAAAGTATGGGTCCAAGGACTGAACCCTGCGGGACCCCACTGGTCACCAATCTGAGACCTCACCCCTCACAGTGACTCGCTGCCTTCTGTTACTTAGGTACTCCCTTATCCAATGGAGTACCTTCCCTTACTCTCCTGCCTGCATCTCCAGCTTTCGCACTAGACTCTGGTGTGGCACTGTGTGTGTGTGCGTGTGTGTGTGTGTGTGTGTGTGTGTGTGTGTGTGTATTAAACTGCTGTAGTAATTATATTTCCCCCGCTTGTCTTAATATACTAAATTCCTAAGGAGAAGTCAATGGCCCCTCCCGTTGATTTAAATTAACCAAGCTAATTAATAGAAGTTATATTTGCCAGGCGAGTATCACGAGCCTAACTAGCGATTCAACATGGATGTCCAATACCAGTAATTAATTAGCGAGCAGATCTGTTAAGCAAGTAAGTCAATTTTACAGTCTATAAACTTGAGAGTGATAAGATACCTCGCTATTTTTCTCCCCGGGATGGTGAAGCTGAATTATGGTGCCCCACAGGTGTAGTGCTGATCCATAGGTGTAGTGTAGTGCTACACAGGTGTAGTGTGGTGCCCCACAGGTGAAGTGGTGATCCACAGGTGTAGTGTGGTACTACACAGGTGTAGTGTGGTACTACACAGGTGTAGTGTGGTACTACACAGGTGTAATGTGGTGCCCCACAGGTGTAGTGTGGTGCTACACAGGTGTAGTGTAGTGCGCCACAGGTGTAGTATGGTGCTACACAGGTGTAGTGTGGTGCCCCACAGGTGTAGTGTGATGCCCCACAGGTGTAGTGCGGTGCTACACAGGTGTAGTGTGGTGCTACACAGGTGTAGTGCGGTGATCCATTGGTGTGGTATAGTGTCCCACAGGTGTGGAAGATGGGATAAGCTGGAGGTGTCCTCCTCGGTAGTCCAAATAATAGTATGCATCCATCAGTCTCGGGAGACTATGGATTTGCGCTCTGGTTGTCGGTCTGGAGTGGCCTCTCCACGGCGCAAAGCCAGGGTAGGTTGATACGGAGGAGAAGCTGTTACCCAAGCAGCAGGTCCCCTCTCTCCACGGCGTCGAAAGTCTCCAATGAAAAGGCAAACGCTAATGCGATTGGTTCCGACTACGGCGGTCTCTGGACTTGGAGTCCCTGTTCCTTCTTTCACCAGCTTCGAGGTCAACTCCAGAGCTCACAGTTCCTGCGACGGCGCTGGAACCAGTCGTATTGGTGGTTGCCTTTTCATTGGAGACTTTCGACGCCGTGGAGAGAGGGGGACCTGCTGCTTGGGTAACAGCTTCTCCTCCGTATCAACATAACCTGGCTTTGCGCCCTGGAGAGGCTACTCCACACCGACAACCAGAGCGCAACTCCGTAGTCCAAATGTATTATTACAAATTCAATAATCATAAATTGGTTTTCACTTATGCGCTCAGTGCGCGCGCACGCACACGTACACAAAAAGAACTTTTTTAGTGTCAGAGTGGTTGACAAATGGAATGCATTAGGAAGCAATGTGGTGGAGGCTGACTCCATACACAGTTTCAAGTGTAGATATGATAGAGCCCAATAGGCTCAGGAACCTGTACACCTGTTGATTGACGGTTGAGAGGCGGGACCAAAGAGCCAGAGCTCAACCCCCGCAAGCACAACTAGATGAGTACACACACACCAAGATTATGTTCGTATTTTCCAAAGTAATTTTTCCTCCAAGGTCACGTTATCAAAGGGGATCTGAGACTTCCCCAAAACAAGAGGTTTTATCAAAATTCGATAGTGACAATGGTGGTTTTTTTATGTTGTTTGAAACAGTTTTTCATTATTAATGTAAACAGCAGTGGAGTTAATATTATTTTTGGGTCTACTTTCGCTCTTTTATCTTTTATTAAGAGCCAATTTTTTTTCCCTTCGTCACTCAATGGAATACTTTGGTCGGTCTTCGTCATGGGTCGGTATGCTCGTGTATACATAGAATACATAGATATGCAGTATGAATGTAATATGAATGTCATGTACAAATTATGATTTACCATTCCGAGAATATGTATAGAATGTAAGGTGATGATTTTCTAGATTTGGTTAGGACGATTTAGGCGTATTTACAGTAAATGAGCTTGGCCTCTCCAGGGCACAAAGCCAGGGTACAAGTTCGAAGCTACGAACTTGGACTCGTAGCTTCGAATGTAAACAGGTTGAGACACGTGTAAAATATGACTGACTCTCCACGATGGGGATAGTCATATTGTGTACTTACAACGTAGTCTTTCCTCCCAGTTGAACTCACAGTGTTATTTTTTTTTAAGAGATCAGAATATTTTTTCTTGGATAACGCTCGTACTGGAGGCTCGAACCCAAGCCTACAACCGATTTTGGGTTTATGATGAAGGCCTATGTGGTACACACTGGTTATAGTAAGCCGTGACACACATAAACCGAGCAGCAAGTACACTTGAGCCTTGAACAATGTCTAGACTTACGAGGTGTCTGGCGATGGGTCGAGGTAAGGCGTCTGCACGATTGATGATTGATGAAGATTAAGCCACCCAAGTGGTGGCACGGGTATGAATAGCCCGAATTTGCACTATAGTGAACGACAGATATATATGAATTCATCCGACTTTCCAAGAAGACAGAAAGTATAACTAGACAGTATTTACAGAATTGAATTACGGGCTATTCATGCCCGTGCCACTTCTTGCATGGCTTAATTTTCATCAATCAATCAATACACAATTCAACGTTTGCATACCAAACTGTTCACTACTTGTTCTACTGGCAAATAACACGCTGAGAAAAAATGCTAAATAAATTTCCTCAATAAATAACGACTAAAAAAAACTGCCCTAACCCAAGTCTAACCTATCTTGGGCCCAAACTTGCCTAGTCCTAACCTAACCCTAGCTAAGCTAAATATAGTACACGTTCTATATTTTACTTAGATTAGGTCAGATTTTGCCGATTTTCTATTATCGATTATCGAAAAGCAAATCGATTTTCTGTCGATTTATTTTTTCCCCAGATTTATTTGTTTCTCATCTGTCAATAACCCCAACGGGGGCTTTTAGCTATGTATTTGAAGTTGGGGTTCCACGTCCGAACTGCATACCAAAGTAATGGTCCCACGTAGGTTATAAACGTCAAAATGCTTAATTGTCAGTGTCTGTAAAGCTATGTAGACGTTTGTCAGATTGTCGTACATTGTTCTGGTAATTTGCGCCATTCGTGGTTAGTTTGGGGTTATATCCATCCACTAATAGATTTTTCCTGATTGTAAATCGTTACACTAACCACTTGGACTGGACGGTAGAGCGACGGTCTCGCTTCATGCAGGTCAGCGTTCAATCCCCGATCGTCCAAGTGGTTCTTGGGCACCATTCCTTCCCCCGTCCCATCCCATCTCAAATCCTTTTCCTGATCCCTTCCCAAGTGATGGTAATGACTTGGCGCTTTCCCTGATAATTGCCTCCCTTCCTTATTTGATCTTGCTCCTGGGGTTACCATCCAGGGGCCAGATTCACGCAAGCACTTACGAACCTGTACATCTTTTCTCAATCTTTGGCGGCTTCGTTTACAATTATTAAACAGTTAAGGAGCTCCGAAGCACCAGGATGCTGTTTATAACAATAACAACAGTTGAATGGGAAGTTTTCATGCTTGTAAACTGTATAATAAATGTAACCAAAGCCGTCAAAGATTGAGGAAAGATGTACACGTTCGTAAGTGCCTTCGTGAATCTGGCCCCAGTGTTGTGTAGTGGCGTTCCTCGGGGAAGGAGTCCAGTTGAGTTTTTGACACGCTCTGGCGCGTATTTTGGTCTTTTTTTCATCATCCTGCAATCATTTTTGGTCACCACGACCCAGAGGTGTTTTCACCGGGGACTGCTTAGCGGGCTGGTATAGTTATATGTCCTGTACCACAGTAGTCTGCGTCCTCCCATTCCCGCGCTCATTCCCCTGGCGGGAAAGAAGCGATTGGATACGTTGTTGTTGTTGTTATAGATTCAGCTACTCAGAACAAGTTCCAAGTAGCACGGGCTATGGTGAGCCCGTAGCTTACCTGGCACAGGAGCGGGGCAAGTAGCACGGGCTATAGTGAGCCTGTAGTGGACTTACCTGACACAGGAGGGGATTGGATACGTTTCCTTTCACTGATGTACCTGTTCACTCTCTCCAACACCCTCATTTCTAAGAAACGGTTAACGCAGTATATCGTTAACTCTGTTCGTCCACTCCTTACACCTTCAACTAAATGATCGTTTGCGAGGTGCAACGATGAGCTTAACGAGTGTGAACTACCGCACGGTAAACCATGGCTGGTAACAAGGCGGTGGCAGAAATGCTGGCGTGATATTTCACATCTCAAAAAGGGCAACACAAAAGTTCGGAGAAGGCCATTAAGGACGCTGTAAAATTTCATTGGTTGTTTAATGAGTTTTTAACGTTATATTCTACGTTTTGGGTAATAACGACTTGGCTGTTATTATTCGGCCACAGTCATCGTGTATTTGGAGCTCCATGTGTGTGTGTGTGTGTGTGTGTGTGTGTGTGTGTGTGTGTGTGTGTGTGTGTGTGTGTGTGTGTGTGTGTTTGTGTTTGTGTCTGTGTGTACTCGTCTAGTTCACTTAGTTGTGCTTGCGGGGTTGAGCTCTGGCTCTTTGGTCCCGCCTCTCAACTGTCAATCAACAGGTGTACAGGTTCCTGAGCCTATTGGGCTCTATCATATGTATATGGAGTCAGCCTCCACCACATCACTGCCTCTGTGTGTGTGTGTGTGTGTGTGTGTGTGTGTGTGTGTGTGTGTGTGTGTGTGTGTGTGTGTGTGTGTGTGTGTGTGTGTGTGTGTGTGTGTGTGTGTGTGCGTGCGTGCGCGCGCGCGTCTCTCTCTACAAGCACAATAGGTGTACATGACTACATCTACAACACTCTGGGTGTGTACGTTCCTGTGAATGGATTTGTATCTGTGTTAACCCAAGTCTGTGTGAGTTTGTGTGCGCAGAGTACCAGAGAACAACCTGACTCTTGATTCCTGCTTGATGGGGTTCTGGGAGTTGTTTTACTCCCCAAGCCCGGCCCGAGGCCAGGCTTGACTTGTGAGAGTTTGGTCCCCTAGGACCAAAACACAGTAAACTCTTAAACTCTTACTTTTGTAAAGAGTTTACTCTTTACTCTTTACTTAACTTTACTTTAGTAAAGTTAGTAAAGTTTAGTTTACTTACTTTACTTGAAAGAGTAAACTCTTTGCTCTTAACCAAGTAAAACGCATCCCCGTCCAACGTATCCCCGTCAAACTCACCCCCGTCCAACGTATCCCCGTCAAACTCACCCCCGTCAAACGCATCCCCGTCAAACGCACCCCCGTTCAACGCACCCCCGGCAAACGCATCCCCGGCAAACGCATCCCCGGCAAACGCATCCCCGTCCAACGCATCCCCGTCAAACTCACCCCCGTCAAACGCACCCCCGTCAAACGCACCCCCGTCAAACGCATCCCCGTCAAACTCATCCCCGTCAAACTCATCCCCGTCAAACTCATCCCCGTCAAACTCATCCCCGTCAAACTCACTCCCCCGTCAAACGCACCCCCGTCAAACGCACCCCCGTCCAACGCATCCCCGGCAAACGCACCCCCGTCAAACTCACCCCCGTCAAACGCATCCCCGTCAAACGCATCACCGCCCAACGCATCCCCGTCAAACTCACCCCCGTCAAACTCACCCCCGTCAAACGCACCCCCGTCCAACGCATCCCCGGCAAACGCATCCCCGTCAAACTCACCCCCGTCAAACGCATCCCCGTCAAACGCATCACCGCCCAACGCATCCCCGTCAAACTCACCCCCGTCAAACTCACCCCCGTCAAACTCACCCCCCGTCAAACGCACCCCCGTCAAACGCAACCCTGTCAAACGCATCCCCTGTCAAACACCCCCCCCCCCGTCAAACGCACCCCCCTTTAAACTCACCCCCGTCAAACGCACCCCCCTTTAAACTCACCCCCGTCAAACGCACCCCTCCTCCCCCCGTCAAAAGCACTTCGTCGCTTTTATACACACAAATCTCCTCTTGTCTTAATTTTAAATCAACATAATTTCAGCACAACGATTTCAGTGAAGTATTCTGTACCCAAGTGTTGTGAAGCCTCTGAAGCCATCAGTGTTGGAAACCAACCTGTCCTCACACCTGAATCCACCGTATCGACCATATCGTCGCAAATGTAGGTGCTTCAGGGAAATACAGAGCACCACAAGAGCAACGCTTCCTCGTATCAATGAGCATTGGCTTCGATATCCTTAGGTAGATTGCCTAGGTTCATACGCTTCTGGTTAGCCAAAACAGCTGCATTTTTTACGCAGTGGCAAATGGAGAGATCAGCGTGGAAATACATCTGTCGTATTTCGTGCTTTTATACTTCAGCAAGACCTTTGTTGCTGTATCCTGGGGCTCTGTCCTGGGACCTCTTGTTATCTATAATATCTATAATATATGTAATTGATTTGCACACATAATTGAATAGTGACATTTGTAAATCTGCATTAGATACAATAATAGGGCGAGAAATAAATTCAGAAGGCAATTTGGTTCAAGACTATCTTAAGAGGCTCTCTAAATGGACGAAAGATTGGTATATGTGGCTTGATCTGGATAGTGTTGAAATTGTGAGAGAGTGAGAGAAAGCTCTGGGAGTCATGATTAGTGCGGATCTTGTGTCCAAAAATCAGTGCATAAATATACCAAATAAGGCAAATAAGAAGCTGGGATTTATTTCTAGAATAGTTAAGAGCATGACATCAATATTAGATGTGTTGTTGTTAACTCGTCTACATATAAATCCTGGAATAATAACATGATAAAAATTCCACACATGTATTTTTATATTTTATGTAAAGATTTGAACTACACCAAGTCTTTTGCACTCTCCTGAGTGGATCCTCAAGGTCTGAGTGTAGGGTTTGGACGAGACTTGCAACTCAACGACTAATACCACGTCGTTGAGATGCAAGTCTCGCCGAAACCATGTACTCAGTCCTTGATAAAGCACTCAGGAGAGTGCGAAGAACTTGGGGTACTTCAAATCTTTAAATAAAATACATAAATACATAAGTGTGTGGGTTTTTCCTTCATCAAATATTATTCTCCAGTTTCTTCTTGCCCATGTTAGGCTTCCTTTATATTTTTCCAGATCAGGTTTTGGTCTCTGTACTATAAAATAGGAACATAAATTCTCTTGAACTTTTCCTTTCTCTCATATCAATTTAACGATTATTGCAAGTGGTTTCCTCATGGGCTCGTACACCTTGTTTACTACCTACAGTCAGTATAGACTGTTGCCCAATCACCTGGTGGTATGCCCACCTCTGCCCGCGGGAGCTCCGCTGGTTTGTAATATTTCCTGGAATCTCCCGCTAATAAAGTATCTTAAGTATCAGGTGGTAGCCTCACTACTTGGCCATTCATAGAAGTCTTCCTCTTAATATATTTAATTGTGTAGCTTTCAATTATTTTTTTCTAGTTGTCAATCTCGTAAATGCTCATTTGTTTTTCAATCTTCTGCTTCTGACGTCCGCCCTCCAGCAGCTGAGGTTATCCATAGTGGTTCACTCAATACCTTTACCTAGATCCTCTTCAGTTTTCTCTCTCGCCGTCGGGCGCCGTCGGATGAGGGTGAAATTGTTGTAAGAAACCTAGTTATTTGGCAAATACATTTTGTGTAGACATTTCGATGCAGTATTTTTTGTCACTTGCAAGTCTTCCAGGCGCTGCACTCCTGCCTCTTGTTGTTGGAAGAAGCGTTCTTGTGCTCCCTTGGTAAGCCTTAGCAATTATATATACACCAACAGTATGCACAAACATTTAACAGAACTGTTGTAATACGCACAGTGGCTCTTCCACCACTCAGAGTTGAGCAGTGACATTTGACAAACAGGTTAATATATATGTACGTCAAAATATATGTACAATAGTCCACATCGTTACTGTAAATACTATCTAAGCAGGAGGATGGGCTGGCTTAGAAGATGGCTCACTCTTAGTCTATCTGCTATCCTTTCGCCAAAGAATTAGCTTCAACAGCCACATTCACCTGCCATCCACAGCACATAACCCGAACCACAGAAAGTAGTGTTCCGTAGGGAGGGGGAAAGAGGGAGGGGAAGGGGGAAGGCGGCTAAATATGATAGAGAAATTAACATAGAGTGCTTGATGATGGGGGTGGAGGTGAGACTACAGCGCCACGCTCGTGACAGCGTACCGGGAAAGAGACCCCATTTGTCAGGCGCATGGGGGCGAGGGGGGCGCCAGGAAAGCGAATATACACAAGAAAACAACGTCGCGTTTAGGCCAAATTATCGCAAGCAAAATTGCATGTTTCTGGCAATTTATTATCATTGGCTTTATAATGCGATTCATCAATGCCTCTGCCACTTGTTATTTCTAAATTATCGACGTGGCTATAGCAGAGTTAGCAGCCATTCATAATCATTATTTTGTTTTCAGAGTTTGGGGGGTTAACGCGCGCTCCTTCCAGATCGCTTATGGCAGAAGCGATTGTACATGTTGAGGTAAGTGCATATTAATGGCTCGTGTTATAACCTGGGCTGAGGGATGGGGTCGGGGGGGGGGGGCAGAGCGGTGCTTTGGGGAGGGGCGATGAATGGAATCGCCGGATCGGGGCGATGAGGTGTGATGGTCTGTATCTATGTGTGTTTGTACGTACGTCTATCACATCACACATGTGTATGTAATTATATATATATATATATATATATATATATATATATATATATATATATATATATATATATATATATATTATTAAATATGACCGAAAAAGTAAGATTAATAAACACGAATTTTCTCTATCTTTCTTACGTTTCTTTTCACTGTTGATGGTAATTCAAAGATCAATTCTCCAAAATTCATTTTTATTTCTAGTCTGACGCGACACTTGGGCGCGTTTCGTAAAACTTATTACATTTTCAAACACTAGTTTACAAACACACAACTGAAACTGAATAGAGCTTACACATCTTCGAGTTTATATCTACATTTGGGTGAGGTGGATGAGGTGAAACCAAACTTTCAACAATGGGTATTGAATGGAAGTAATTGTAGAAAGCCTATTGGTCCATATTTCTTGATGCTGCTATATTGGAGCGGAGTCTTGAAGTGGGTAGAATATAGTTGTGCATTAATTGGCTGTTGATTGCTGGTGTTGACTTCTTGATGTGTAGTGCCTCGCAGACGTCAAGCCGCCTGCTATCGCTGTATCTATCGATGATTTCTGTGTTGTTTGCTAAGATTTCTCTGGTGATGGTTTGTTTGTGGGAAGAGATTATATGTTCCTTAATGGAGCCCTGTTGCTTATGCAAGCCCTGCATAAGCAACAGTAATATATATATATATATATATATATATTACTGTTGCCCAATATATATATACATATATATATATATCCCTACTATAAAGTAGGATCTCTACTTAATTTTTTAATTATATAAATTGGGACAGTAACCAAGCATTACTCTCTCTACGCTTTCACTCTCCAGTGATTTCTGTTACGAAATCAATATAGTAATAATCACCGAGCCCCTTGCTTGAGAAGTCTATTTTAAGTAATCAGAATTATCTTTTCCCTAATTTTAAATTGTTTGTTTTTAACAAATTATACACAACTCGCCGAAGACGTCGGTAACGAGGGTACAAGTGGGAGAGAGTACATTTATTTATTTATTTATTTAAATATATGAGTTCTTGCATTCTTGTAAAGCCACTAGCACGCATAGGCGTCTCGGGCAGGTCCTTAATGACAGTTTTCCCCCGGAATACGAACCACCAAATCGTTTATGAACCAGGTGCCCATTCACTGCTGGGTGAACAGAGGCTACAGTTAAGGATTGGCGCCCAGTCAATCCTCCCCGGCCAAAATGCAATTCAAAGGCCAAAGCGCCTGGCGAGTGCTTTACCACTGCGCCACGAGGACCAAAGGTTCGAAGGACAGTTACACATAGTTTGGTGACGTTACAAAGAAAAACGATCCTCTCTGATACCCATTGTGTACCTCTGTAGCCCTCTCTAACATGGCCTATGGGATGGGTATGGGGTACGTAATAAAATATTTAACTAACTAAACTGTTACCATCGTTACAAAATACATATATGTAAGTATAATTGGTGTTTTCGTATCGCATAGACTCCTTCCAGGATGCTCTCTTGCACCAATGTCAATCAGCTTGCTATATGTCTTGCCTACGGCTATTTTAGCTCTCTCGCTCGCCTGATGATATCGATTAATTATAGATTACTGATGTCTCGACGCAAATATCACGGTGAAGGCAGGGAAACGAAATCGTTTTAATATTAAACTAGACTTTTCTCAAGGAAATGACTTGAAGACTTTTTTTTCTGGGGTGTAAAGAGTCGAGAGAAGAGGTGTTGGCAGTCGCGCTCCTCCTTCGATTTGAACTTTTCGCCGCCCTTGTGTAATCTAATTGCTAATTTGTGTTTCTTCAGTTCCTTGGTTTCTTGAAACATTTAAAGGTAGATATTGTACTTACTGAATCGAAACACCCTTCGATTAGAAAACAATTATTATTGTTAACGTTGCAATTCTTGAAGAG